GTGTGATACAGGCCTTGTGCAGACTGGTCACTGGGGCAGCCCTGCAGGACAGACACACTGCTGGGGTCTCCCAGCTCTCTATACAGCACAGATACCGAGGTCCCGATTGGCTTGCGTTTCTGAGAACTCGGCCGTGATGGCGTTCTGGGTTCCATCCCTGCTGGTCTGTGGTCCTTCCTGAATTCAACTACGACAATCTACGAGATGGCGTGGAGTTCTGCAGTGTGTTTTCCTGTCGAAGTTGGCGAATGCTGAATTGGTGGCGGCTCCAGACTGCCGGATACTCTGCTGTTTAGGCACTGCTGCCCTTCCCCGTGGGCTCCTCCTGATGGGACAGCAGTCCAGAAAGTGGACGCGTGTCCTCGTGCTTTTTGCGTAACAGTGGCTTTTTTGGAACGCGGGAAGCTTGTTAGCTGTCCTCTTAACGGTGCACTAATCTGTCCTGTACCATGTAGTGCTGTGTAGAGAGAAGCTCTACACAGGGCTGTGGCAACGGCACAGAGGATCACAGGATGTGGTTTCCCATCAATCAATGAGATCCACACCATCCGCTGTCACAATAACGCCTGATATAATAAAGCTCAATAAAGTCATTCAGGATCCCAGCCATCCGGAACAAACTGTCCCCCCCCCTGCGCTCTGGCAAGCGGTACCGCGCTGTTGAAACAAGATCCACTGGACTCCAGAACAGCTTCTATCCCACTGCAGGGCCTCAGGACTCAACACTCTTTTAATTTTGACTGCCATGTATTCATTGTCCCGTCTGTTTATTTGCTTATACTGTCACTGTTTATTATTTCCTGTTTTGTAATGTACTGTCTTTATTGTGTGGTTATCTCTTGTACATGTATAATGGTAACAGTACGTACGGCTGATAATCTCCTCTGTCTAACACTGACCTGCAATAAGAGCCTTTTTCTTTTTTTGCAGCACACGGCCCCGCCCCTCCACTATGACATCACCAGCCCTGGACCTATCGGCTGTCCTCCCGCCTCCCCGGCTGGCGCAGCTGGCTCGCGATTGGCTGGCGGAGGACGTGCCGCAATTCGACCCGGCGGGGGCGTGCGTGGGGAGCAGGGAGGTCACGGCCACGCTGCTGTGCAAGAGCCCCGGCAGCGTGCTGGCGGGGACCCCGTTCTTCGCCGCCGTCTTCGCCGAGCTGGGCTGCAGGGTGGAGTGGCTCTTCCCGGAGGGGGCCAGCCTGGGTGAGGAGGGGGGGACGTTTAATTAGGTGCCGATGCCCCAGTGTCCAACAGAAAGGAGAACCGCCATGTTCAGGCGTGACGATACACAGTTTGCACCTAGGAGGATGGGAAGATTTATTACATGGATAAATCAGTCAGGGCTGGCAAGATGGCGCATTGCTGCCTCACAGCTCCGGGCCCTGGGTTCAGTTCCTGAGGTGCTATCTGTGTGGAGTTTGCATGTTCTCCCCTTAGTTCATGTGGGTTTCCCCAGGTGCTCTGCTTTCCTCCCACAGACTAAAGACATGCTGGTGGGTTAATTGGCCCTGGTGTGTTGTGTCTGGGTGTGTCCTGTGATGGACTGGTGTTCAGGGTGTATGAGAGAGTGTCTGTGTGTGTCCTGTGATGGACTGGTGTCCTGTCCAGGGTGTGTGAGAGTGTGTGTC